CAAACCCTTCCCCCTCCTCCTAGGGCTCCCCTCCCTCATCCAGAGTCCCTCCCCAGCTTTCCTGGAGCCCCTTGAGGGACTGGAAGGGGCTCCAAGGTCTCCCCGGAGCCTTCTCTTCTCCAGATTGAACCCCCCCAACTCTCTCAGCCCCCGCTCCCAGCAGAGGGGCTCCAGCCCTCCCAGCATCTCCGGGGCCTCCTCTGGACCAAGCTCTGTGGTCCCCAACACAAGAAGGACACGGACCTGTCAGAGCAGGTCCAGAGGAGGCCACGAAGATGTTCAGAGGGCTGGAGCCCAGAGAAGCTGTGGCTGCCCCATCCCTGGAGGGGTTGAAGGGCAGGTTGGAGGGGGCTTGGAGCAACCTGGTGTGTTGGGAGGTGTCCCTGCCCAGGGCAGGGGGTGAAACTGGATGGGCTTTAAGGTTCCTTCCAACTCAAACCATTCTAGGATTCCATGGTATGATTCTATGATATGATTCTGTGATACATGCCCATCACCAACTCGGCATCCTTGTGCCAACGACGTTCCCAGTGGGCAGAGAAGAGGCCTGCGACGTGCTGCACTGCAGCTGAAGCAAACACGAGATGTTGGCCAACTCCTCCGAAAGCGCCGTCAGATCTTTCACATCCACATGAAGCAGATGGCGTCGCAGATTTGAAATCTTGTTCCAAGAGAAGTACATGTAGGAAACCACACAGAAATATAAGTTTGTTTATTCAGAGCGTTTTTGCGTTGAATGTTACATTGATTGAGAGACTTTCCAGCTTGCGTAACCTTTATTTCCTATGTGCACAGTTCAGCGGAAGTCAGGCTTGTGCAAAACTGCCCACATCAATCCTTAAGGTTGATGAGATTTAAACACATCAGCTTTAGGACGAGAAAGGCTGAATCAGCCCCGCTGGGATTCCAAGCTGCAAATTCACAGAGTCGTAAGCGTTTAAACCTGAGGACACGGTCTTGAACTGCAGACTCGCTCATAAATACATGCCTTAATGCTCAATATTCAGTGCAATAATCAGGTTGGGTTTTTCTTTTCTGTATTTTGCCTTTGCAGGAGTATAGCGCACCGATGTCTTAGGGAGATGAATGAACATCACAGTTCTCATGTTGAAGGAGAGGCAGGAACCAAAAAGGACTTTAGCCTGGCATAACCTCAAAGAGTGGCTCCCCAGAAACTCCGGAGACACAAGGAGAATGCAGGTACCTTTGAAGCAGCTGGAACGAGAGCTGCAGGCACTGACAGACTCTCTACTTTCACCTTTCCACGGGATTCACAATTTGCACTAAGACTCTCCCAGCAGCAAGAAGCTGTCCTGATGACACACACATGGATTTACTTGCCAGTGAGGTGGGATTATATCCCTAAGTAAGGCTAGAGCCCCAGTGGTAATTAGCTGTACACTGATTGACTTGGACATCGTAGAGACTAAAATAAGAAGCAACCTGTACACGTCCTCAGAAAAGACGCTGCGAAGTATCCTGAAGAAATGGTGAAACAGTTTGTGTTGAAGCCATTTTGGGGCCAGCTGGAGGCAAATCACCACCTAATTAGGCCATCTAGCCATCTAGTCTGAGCAAGACTAATCAGGAGGGGGAATAGCAATTTCTTCCAGCTGCTTTCTGTGTGCGTATTTTATTTTCTTAGGTGGGGAAGCTCTGCAGAATAGATGATGCTGTGGTTACAGCGCATGACTGGTTCTGCTTTCATTTCCCACATGGTTTTAGGCAAATCACTTCATGCCTCTGTGTTTTTTGACTTTTCCTCCAGTGCAAAATGTCTCTTCTCCCAAGAGACGTTCTGAAGATTGAAGTCATTGCGTTTTAGTGACTTCCGCACGGGATGTGCTGTGAAAGTATTTGAAAGTAATTGAAAGTATTACAGAATTGCAGTGCAGGGAGGCTTCTGAAATCCTGGCGCTGTGCGAGTGTTCCTTCAATTATTGTGTGGGACTGAGGGAATGCTTTTAATCTACACTTTGTAATAAATATTGAACTGTAAAAGCTAAATAATAAACCTCAAAGGCAGGGCATTTTAAAGCTAGGCTAATAAGGAATAAACAGGACATTTAAACTAGATCTTTCTTCTAATCTTTTAGTGATAAATGACTCAATTAAGAAAAAAGCAAAGACAAAACGTTGACATGAGCTAATGGGTCAGAGGGTTCCTCTGAAGCTCTCCGGTTTGACAGTTCCATCCCATGCAAGCAGGCTGCAGCGGGCAGGTTAAGAGAAAGTAACTGTGACAGTGAAGTTCATCAAAAGGCTGGATTATCCCCCCATTCACAATGCTGGGCTCAAGGAAGATGGAAAACTTTATGACGACTCTGATCCAAAGGCTGCTGGTGTGACCAGAAACTTCCCAGTGCTGCCCAGAAAACCCTGCTGGGGGGCTGCCAGGGAGCTGAGCTGCCACCCTCCACCTGGTTCCTTCCCTCCCAGTAGCTGTTTGTAGTGTTCACTGGTCGTCGGGACATTTACACTCTTACTGAAAACACTTCTTTGTCATCAAGTCTAAATAATAAAGTGAGCAGTGTTCCTGTGCCCCTGGAGACATACATACTCGATATGCAAGAAATGGAATCGCAGGGTTTGAATATACATACGTGTCATGTCTTGTTTTCACACTGTGGAATAACAGCCTGAATTATAGCTGGATAATTAGGCTGAAGAGATTTATTGAGGATTAATAAATGCTGCCTAACAGATGTTCCTCCCCAAAACACTGTGAAAGACATTGGCAACTGTGAAAATGTAAAGGAAGGGCAGGAAGCAGGAGATGGGTCTCTCAGATGTAACTTGGAGATAGCTGTCGATGGGTTTGAGCAATCTCCTATCAGGAGATTAGCTTTACTTTGAGACACCACTATTCACCTTGATGCTCCTCAGTTTCTTAACATTTTGTACTCGGGACCATGTTGTATTTGAATTTGAATAGCCAACTCTGTCCGAGCCTGATTTTTGGAGCCCTAACTCACTGCTTTCACCAGTGATCTTTGTCGCTCCATTATTTCCTCAGCCTAATAGAGAAATCGCAATTAACTAATGGTTAATTTAATCTTGCTGTCCGTATTAAATCCCTTACTGCATAGCCTAGCAGTTTTTAACTCCGGGGATGAGAGAGAGAAGCTCTGCCAGCTTTCCCATGGGAGCATCATCCACAAATCCGGGAAGGGACCAGCGTCTGTGCTCTCCAGAGCCGCCTGCTCATGCACCACCCGAGCACATCAGCTCGCTGTGACCTCCCAGCAAACTCCTAACTGGCCTTTGGGTGCTGCAGTGAGTGGGGCTTGCAGAAAAGAGCAGCTCCCCTCCAGACCTATCCAACGTGGAATCTTGTTTCTCTCACTTCTTATAAATATGGGTGAGAAAGGTAAGTGGAACATGCTGGAGCAGGAAGAGGTGACAGATGGTGGATATTAAAAAGACTCTTTAATTACAGGATTTGGAGAGAGGGTCCTTTACGGAGATAATTTTTTAATTGTTGCTATTTGTAGGAAAAAAATCCCAGTGCTCCCAAGCAGTTCCCAGTAGCAAAAGGCCTGGTCTCTGAGCACTGTTGACTCTAATCACTTCAACCCAGAGAAAAAGAAAACGCTGTGCTTGTTAGAACGCCTCGGTTAAACTTCAACTTCTTCTGCAGAAAAAGTGTTTGTTTCCTTCCATCTGCTGCCTTTGCAAGAAAGGAAAAATCAGCCTGTTCAGATACCAGGAAGTTCTTCAACATTTGAACAGCTAGCTGTAAACGCAGAAACAATAACATGCATAAATTATCATACCTAAAAATACCCCGCATGCCCGTCACCCATATAACCCAGCCCTGGAGCAGTTCCTCAGCACCGTAAGCCTGCGTGAAGTCTGCAGAGACACGGGATGTGGGCAGAGCGGGGCAGCTGTGCCGGCAGATGCACGTGCCGGGCTCTCTTGCACCCTTGCAGTTTTTCCTCTCATCAAAACATGTTTTGCTTTCACCGGGAGCTGCCGGCTGCCTCCTACGGCTCCGTGCCACCGTCTCTGCCAAAGCAGGGGAGATTACAGCGGGAGCCAGACCCTTTGCAAGTGGCGGAGACCCACAGCATCTGAATTCAAACCAAATCCATCCTGACACTGGGGCTGTGTGAGCAGCGTGGGAGGTTCTATAAAGCTGGTCCTCAAATTCAGCAGCTCTCCATACCTCAGAGGAGGCAAAGTGCAGCAGAGAAGGCAAGGCAGGCGGCAGGGGACGGGGTGGTGGTTGTCCCCAGCCCGCTCCGATGGCAGACAAACCCAACAGCCCTCAAGTCACCCCAGAGAGGGACGTGGCTGTCGCCCCATAGCTCGCTGCTGTGGGAAGCCCATGGTGTCTCTTGCAATCAATTCCTATGCAGTCTGTGCCTCCGGTATTTGCTTTTCAGAAACCTCGGAGCCCTTGCCGCGTTTCCGTGGTAACGCTGAGCGATGCGATGTGGGTTATCTGCAGAATCGAGGTCCTGGGGCGCTCTCTCTTCCGAGCCTTGCAGCAGTTTTGGCTTCACACCCCAGGAGCTGCAGGTGCACTGCAGTAATGGTGATGTGTTCCTCACCACGACTCCCCATCAGCACACGGGTCAGGACGTACACTCACCAGATTGCCTTTGTGCCGGCGATACCTGGGGAACGGATCAAAACGGCCCCAGGACGGGGATTGTTGAGACCTCAGCCAGGTCCCCACTGCCCCTCCATCCCAGTGGAGGCTCAGCGTCTCGGTCCTGTGCTCACAAACCCACCAATGCTGTAACTCCTGCCCTGTGTCCATGGCACCAATGGGTCTATCACACAGTATGACCCCGAAGGGAAAAGTAGAAAAGCTGTTTCGCACAGAGCGAACACCCAGGCTGCCCTGTGCTGCAAGAGAGCTGGGGATGCTGCTGCTGTCAGCCCTTCACCCAGCACTACAGCCACCAAAATACTTTCCTGCCTGCTGGCTAACCACTGCTGATGGAAACACACAGCACTTTCAATTTACTCAGTCTCTGTGGCCTAAAACTCTTCCTGTGCCCGACCACAGCCGTCTGGCTACAGCCCGTCACACCCATCATTCCCCATCCAGACGCAAACCAAGCCAGGGCTTCTCAGCATCCACGATGAGACGGTATCAGGAGCACTCAGTCTAGCCAGGAATTTAAATTATTGAAATAAGAAGGAACTGCACAGGCTGGATCCTAGCAAAGCAATTTGTATATTATTCTTTCTTCTAATGAAAGTGAAAAGCCGTCTAACTTTGAGGTAAGAGCTTTGCATCTCAACAACGAGCCAAGACTTTGCAAGGAGAGGTTGGGCACGTTTCCATCACAGCTTGAAGGCAGCCAGAGCAAGAGCAGAAAGGTCTTTTTGGGGATACCACTGCTGTCGGGAGCAGCACAAACATCCACAGGTCATGCTCTGTTCCTTGTCCCCGCAGCTGAAGCCCCCAGACAACCCTGACGTGCCCTGAAATGGGTCCCTACAGAAGGCTTCAAGTGCAAGAGCTGCTGGTTCCTGCCAGGACACGGCTGGTGGCTTCGCTCTGGGGACAACAGGTCACAGCCAGATGCCCAGAGTGGCCGAGGGGCTGACAGGGGGATCCCCACAGGGATGGGGACACCCCAGCAGCAGCATGAAGAAATTAAAAGATCTAATAGCCTTTTTAACGCATTTGGGGAAAATGTTGGTTCCCAAAGGGCATAAAGCATATTTCCAATGTTTGTAACTGACCCCAAAAGAACATGGTTAAAAAGTTACCTAAACGCTTTGTATAAAGTTGTAATAGAACTTTAATTGAACTTTAGCTGAACTCCTGAAATCAAAACTTAATTGGGCCTTTTGCACCTAGACTAGATGTAGGAACAATTAAACCTAATTGCGTCCTTGCACATCCACCAGCACTAGATGTAAGAACCATTAACCAAAACTTAGATCAAACAAATTGAATAGTGAAAGGATTTACCGTCTTGAGAGCTCACCAAGGGCGAACCCAGTCCTGGTGATACCTAAGGCAGATTTTATGCATTTTATAAGTGGTTAAACTGTAGGGAATCTTCTTTTAGAGAAGAAATGTAGCTATTTTAGCAACCATCCCAAATGGTTTCAAGGACTTAGTAAGATAAGAAAGGATGTCTGCGGCCCTGAGAACATGGTGACCTAAGACAGGGATGCAGTAAATATGGACATTGTCTGACAAACAGGTGGTAGCAGAGGGATCATTAGTTTTAATGAGCAATTAAACAGTTAGAATGTTTTGCCAACATGAAAAGTGAGCCAAAGGACAGGTGAAGAAGATGAAGATTGAGGAAGAAACGACCCTCACTCAAAATAAGGACCACCAGAAGGCACAACTACGCACGCATGCTCAAAAGCTTATTATAATACGTAAATAAATTCTCAGAAATGTAATGAATATGCTAATGTTTTCTTAGAATTACATTGAATATGTATACCTGTTGTATATATATTTAATTCGACAACAGCACCACAGGAGGAATATGTATACCTGTTGTATATATATTTAATTTGACAACAGCATTTGGTGTGCACCACAGGAGGAGCTATGCCCTGCGCACCCGGCGCCGCAATAAAGAATGCCTGATTTCTGAGCTTTAAGTGGAGTCTCTGAAAGTTTTACCTGGGGGTTTGCGGTGACGCCGGGGGAGCGCTCCCGGTCCCTGATCCAGGGGCAGGACGACAAGGCATATTTTCTGTGGAACAGAGCCCAGATAAGTGTGTCTGAGAGAAGCCTGAGGAGATTATAATACCAAAATGCACACTCTCTTGTAAATAAGGAGCACGCTAATTAAGGAGAGCTCCCAAAACTTTTAAAAGATGAACTGGAGTGTATATAAAGGATGAGGGATGGTAAAGGAACTGTAGCTCACCTGCGGGCTCAGCCGTCGGCCTGTCAGAGGCCTGTGCTCTGCGGGCACCCCGCTCCGTTCCGTGGAACTGAAATAAAGACAAATATTTCGATATAGTGTGTGGATTATTTTTGCACACGGGGCCACGAACCCTTAATTTAGGGTCAACATAACGCCGATTATCCGAACGGCTGGTTAGCAGCCCAAGCGCTTCATTACTGGGTGTCTTTAACCGCTTATTTGCATCCCAACCCTGAAGCGCTGACCTGCGATCCCGGCGGGGCCGAGCATGGCGGGGCCGCCTCCTCCCGCCGTCAGGGGCCGGGCCCGGCGCTCACCGCCCACCGGCGGGGCGGGCTCGGAGGGCGGCCCGGGCGGCTGAGGGGATCCCGGGGCGGGAGACGGCTGAGGGGATCCCGGGGCGGGAGGCGGCGGCGGCGGCCGGGCGGGTCGGCAGGTAGGTGGGTGATCGGGGCGGCGGTAAGATGGCGGCGTAGCGGCTCTCCCTCAGCTCCCTTCAGATCCCCGCCATGAAGCTCATCATCTCAGAGACGTACGCGCAGGCCAGCGAGTGGGCCGCCAAGTACATCCGCAACCGCATCGTCCACTTCGGGCCCGGCCCCGGGAGGTTCTTTACGCTGGGGCTGCCCACAGGTGGGTACCGGGAGCGGGGGTTGGGGGGGGGAGGCCCCGGGGGGCCCGGCCCGGTCTGAGGCGGCGGCTCCCCCACAGGCAGCACGCCGCTGGGCTGCTACAAGAAGCTGGTGGAGTACTACAGGAATGGAGACCTCTCCTTCAAGTACGTGAAAACCTTCAACATGGACGAGTACGTGGGTGAGTGCCCTTTGGCTTTCCCTGCCGGGGGGGCTGTGCGCTGCCCGTCTGCACTGTCCTGTCATGGAGGGCGCTGGGCCCGCAGCCCCCCATCTCATTAGTGTGGGGAGAAAATCCCCCCTGCAAAAGATTCAAGGTAGGAAGGATAAGATTTGTTAACAGGGACAGTTTGAAAACCTATATAAGGAATGTCTAAGGGTATTGGGTGTTGCCTGGTGTTAGACTCACTGCTGTGTTTTACCTGAACTTCGGTATTGGCCAGGTAAGGATCCGTCTTATCACGGCAAGCCCAGATAGCGTGTGGTATGAACTGCCACCTTTGCTCCGGGATTGTAAAGGTCACTTTGGCTCCGGGTCTCTCACAAGGAGCGATGCGATGCCCTTCCGCAGCCGACGTGCAGGCCTTTCAGATAGCAGCGTGTTCCAGTTATGAAGCTGGGATGAAATAGCCTCCTCAGATGACAGAGTACAGAGAGATCAGTGGGCAGGCCTAAAGCTCCAAAGGTGAAAAACATACAGGCTAAATATTTGCTAATGCTTATCTTACCCTGGCCAAGACGTTTTTCCTGTGAACAGTCCTAATCAAGCAGCATTAGGGAATAGGCAGGCCGGTGTGGGTTTATCGCATTCAAGGGGGAAAAAAAAATCACACAATAAGTTATTCCCTAGGCTTCTGCACAGTTTTTTAGTCGTTCTTGCTGATACCAACTGGTAGGAATGCTGAACAGGTAGTAACGGATGAGGCACGTGCCTGCTTTTCTGGAACAACAATCACGTGTTAATAAGAGGATGTGCCTTATAGGAGCTATTGATTTACTGTAATTTTGCTATTTGGGGAAATAAGAACAACTCATGAAAGTTGAGGGAGTCACAAATGACAGAAAGCAGCATTCTGTTCCCAAAGCCACTGCAAGGGCCCAGGGGTGGTTTGTGTAGGGGTGATATTCTTTCAGTGGGTCTGACTCCTGTGCGTGCTCCATTACCAGGTCTCCCGAGGGATCACCCGGAAAGTTACCATTCCTTCATGTGGAACAACTTCTTCAAGCATATTGACATCTCGCCAGAAAACGTGCACATTTTGGATGGAAACGCACCTGATCTGCAGGCAGAGTGTGACGCGTTCGAGGATAAAATCAAAGCAGCTGGAGGAATCGAACTCTTTGTTGGAGGTGAAAACCCAAAGGACTATCATGATCTATCATAATCATTCTATGATTCTATTGGTCTCTAAACACTGGCAGCAGCACTGCCTTTCCCCCACCAGCACTCTCCTGATTCTATTGGTCTCTAAACACTGGCAGCACTCTCATTTATTGTCAGGAGAGCTCCTTTTCAGTGCAGTTCAGTGGATTTGCAGTGGAAGCCACCCCGTACTCCATCACCCTGGGTGTTCATGCGTGCTAACAGCCTGGTTTTCCAGTATACTGCTCCCCCAGTTTAAAGTATTTGAATCCAGTATGTGAGTTGTTCAGGAAAGGACTAGCAGGAGAGGCGGGCAGGGCTAGAATTGTACCCAATTTTATTGTCAGGAGAGCTCCTTTTCAGTGCAGTTCAGTGGATTTGCAGTGGAAGCCACCCCATACTCCATCGCTCTGGGTGCTCATGTGTGCTAACAGCCTGGTTTTCCAGTGTACTGCTCCCCCAGTTTAAAGTGTTTAAATCCAGTATGTGAGTTGTTCAGGAGAGGAGTAGCAGGAGAGGCGGGCAGGGCTAGAATTGTACCCAATACAAAATGTATGACAGTTGCCAGTGCTAACGGGAAACTGCGGGGAGTAGGCAGAGTCCTGTGAGCCAACAGGAGCTCAATGTGAGCTTTTCCCCCCAGTTTGCCTTCAGATTCTGCCATCCACTTGTCCCAGCATCAGAGGGGGCTTTTGCTGTCGTTCCCGCCACTTCAGATTCTGCCATCCACTTGTCCCAGCACAATTAGGGAAGAGTCTTTGTTTTCAGAGGGGGCTTTTGCTGTCGTTCCCGCTGGCAGCAAATTTAAGCTTGAGCAGAAAAATTGCAAGTGTTTTTTCTCAGATCTATGTCTATTCCTGAAGTGTTGAGTGTCTTTCTAACAGGAGTGCTGCTGGCTCTGCTTCTGCAGTAACTGTGACACCCGCTGACCTGTCTCTCAATCTCTGTCACAGGTATTGGCCCCGATGGTCACATCGCCTTCAACGAGCCTGGGTCGAGCCTGGTGTCCAGGACACGCGTGAAGACCTTGGCTATGGACACTATATTGGCTAATGCCAGGTTCTTTGATGGCGACCTCTCCAAAGTGCCCACCATGGCCTTGACGGTGGGAGTGGGCACTGTCATGGACGCCAGAGAGGTGAGGAGAAAAGCAGTGACTTCACACAGGGTGTCCTGGGGCGGGGAAAGATCCTCTGGTCTCGGAGCAGCATTGCACCCTGCTGGCGTAGGCTGGCTTCTGCTGCTTCTGCCACAGGGCCCCACATACCTACCCCTCCTGGTCCCTCACCTCCTGCAACACTCTGGAAAGGCTCTTGCTCCATTTTTACTCTACTAACACTTATATTTGTGTAACCCTGCAGTACACCTGGGATCCACGGGGAGGTAGAGATGATGGTCACATCGCCTTCAACGAGCCTGGGTCGAGCCTGGTGTCCAGGACACGCGTGAAGACCTTGGCTATGGACACTATATTGGCTAATGCCAGGTTCTTTGATGGCGACCTCTCCAAAGTGCCCACCATGGCCTTGACGGTGGGAGTGGGCACTGTCATGGACGCCAGAGAGGTGAGGAGAAAAGCAGTGACTTCACACAGGGTGTCCTGGGGCGGGGAAAGATCCTCTGGTCTCGGAGCAGCATTGCACCCTGCTGGCGTAGGCTGGCTTCTGCTGCTTCTGCCACAGGGCCCCACATACCTACCCCTCCTGGTCCCTCACCTCCTGCAACACTCTGGAAAGGCTCTTGCTCCATTTTTACTCTACTAACACTTATATTTGTGTAACCCTGCAGTACACCTGGGATCCACGGGGAGGTAGAGAGGTTTGGGAAGGATGTCTTTGGTTAAGAGTTTGGTCTGGGGAAATAACTGCAAGAATCACTGGTTGACAGATCATGAAAACCGCATGGGATAGCTTTTAATTGAGTCTATACCTTGATTTATACTTGTTAAGTCTCAGCAGGGGGTGCCTAACAGGGGAGTTCAAAGGATCCGAATCATTACAGTGACCCACCAGGCTATGATTTAATTGACAAATAAACTGCAGTCAGAGCAAACAGAAGTGTGCCTCTGGGGAGGATGATGGAGAAATCCCCCTGTGAGGGACCAGGGGAGCTCCCCCTCCGTTCTGCAGGTGCTGCAGGGTGCTCTCTCTGAAGGCACCTTCTAGCCCCTGACTGCCATCCTCTGTGTCTCCTGAGTCCAGGTGATGATTCTCATCACGGGAGCCCACAAAGCCTTTGCTTTATACAAAGCCATTGAGGAAGGTGTCAACCACATGTGGACAGTGTCTGCTTTCCAGCAGCACCCCAACACCGTGTTTGTGTGTGACGAGGATGCCACGCTGGAACTCAAGGTGAAGACAGTGAAATACTTCAAAGGTGAGCGTTTGACCAGGCCAAGACGCTGTCGTACTTAATTTTTAAGTGGCACAAGCCATGCTTTGCATTAGATGTTTCTGTTTAATCAACTCCTAAATGAGTATATTCCTTAAATATAACAGCTGACATGTACAGAGAGAATAAAAGTGCAAAGGGAATGCTTAACTGTGGGCCTGGGAGCAAAGGAACAAGGGCTCTAGTGATCCCTAATTTCAGCAGCAACCAATGAATGACAGTTTTGCTTTATCGTGTCTACTTAAAGTCATCTTCGCTTTCTCCATCAGGTCTCATGCTGGTTCACAACAAGCTTGTGGAGCCCTTATACAGCATGAAGGAGACGGGAGCAGAAACAAGCCACTCCAAGAAGCCGTACAGCGATTAATCGCGCTGTTGGGAGTGGTGCTGAACCAGCTTTTCTGTTCAAAACCAGCTGTGAAGAAAGGGAATTGCTGCAGAAACTCATCTCCTATTTGTTCTTAAATTAGCAAAATGATTAAGTACTTGCTTCTCTCTATTAAAAAGACAGATGCCAAACACCTGCCTTAATTAACCAAATGAGGATGGGATCCAGTGTACTGCATTCCACAAACTCCTGCTGCTGATTTACTCACTGAAGGTAAAGTCAGTGGAGAGTGAGGTGTTGAATCTACAAAGCAACCGTAAGGACATAGACTGAAGGCCCCAAAACTTTATTGTGAAAGTACAATGTTGCAGAAACCAAACGAGTAACCACTTTGGGATGTATTCCTCACAATCAGGACAAGTACCTTGTGTGTCATTCCCCTTCCACAAAACGCTCATTAATCATTTAAAATGGGAGCTGAGCTTTTTCAGCCTGGAGAAAGGAAAGGTCCAGCACGAGCTGAGGGCAGCGTGTGTCACAGCTACGAGGAGGACAGCGGGAAGGTGAAGGCAGGCTCTCCTGGGCAGTGTGCATGGGGAAGATACGACGGGGCTTGAGTTAAGCCAAGATGCTCAGACTGGATCTAAGGAAAAGCCCTCCCCCAGAGGACAGGCCAGCAGTGGGGCAGGTTGCCCAGACTCTGGCCTTCAGAGAGGTTTTCCAGACCTGATGGATAAAGCCCTGGCTGAGCCCTGCTTCGAGCCAGAGGTTGGACTCGAGACCATCTCAGCAAAAGGGAGGGCACAGCTGTTCAGCAGCGCTGTTAATAATTAGTGCCATTAATGGTTAGTTTGCACATCTATGGGATTTTGTTTGTTGTCACCCAAGAAGCCTTACACGTTCAGTTTCAGGGTATGATTCCATATCCCCTGGTGCTTGGTGACGTGCTGCAGGAGGGTAGATTTGTTCCGTGAAGCATAAATAACCTCTCTCTGCTGCTCCATTATCCGCGTCGGCGCAGAGCCTGAAGCAGCAAGATCTCTCTCCCGCCTTCCCCTGCTCTACCTTGTCACAAGGAAATGCCAAGTGACACCTCAAAGGAAATGCTCTGTTCCCTCTGCCTCAGCCCGGGATCAGTGACAGCAGCCCCACGCAGATCAGTGACAGCCTGTGCTGGCAACACCCCGCCGATTCCACATCTCCATTCCTGGGTGTGTCCTGTCAAACAAGGGCCAAGACAAACTGTGCAGCATTTATTTTCTTCATGCAGAAATTTTCCAAGCTGTTGATCTGTAATGTAACTTCCTACAGTAAATGTCTTGATTTTTTCTAAATGGTCACATTGTCTGTATCTGGTGCCAAGTCTCACTTTGATAGCGAAACATGGACCCGTTTATGAGGCTGATGGGACTCTTAATGCCAACTTTGAACAAAACACAACCTTCAAAGCATGAGAAAAGACCTGTTATTTGCACAAGATTTCTCTGTCACCGAGAACTAAACTGTATGGAAAGCAGTTTGGTAGAAACAGCTACAGCTGCACCCAACTTCAAGAGCTTCCTCCCTTGTCCAGTAATTGCTTTTCCAGTAATCCAGCAGCCCTTTCATTAGAAAAAAAAAGTAGGGATCTTTACAGGAAGGAGAAGGAGGTCACAGTTCTCTATCTTCTACCACAAAATATCAGCAAATAACACTTGTTCTGTGCACACAAAGAAATGGAGAGAGAGAAAGTCTACAAGAGGGAAAAAACCTGAGGAGGAAACTCTGCGCCAGAATTGATTGCCTTGCTGTCACTCAAGATAGGTTCTGCTTTTAGCTGTCCCACCTTTGCCACACCAGCTGATTGTCCTATGAATGTAGTCACCTCCTTGTCCTCTCCTCCTCTCCTCACTGCAGGATGTGTGAGCTCCAGCCTGGGTGTCCCCAGGTGCCCAGAAATCAGATGCAGCAGTGACTACATCACCGCTCCTCCTCTCTCCACACAAAGTTCTTGAAAGCAGAGGTAGTTCATCACAGCATCTTCACATACTTCACCGTAGCACTCCTGCTCTGCTCCCTCTGGCTTTTCATCCCAACGTGCCCTTTGGTGTCCAGGCCCTGCTCTTGGCCACCTCTGTCCTGGCAGAAGGGGTTTGAGGGATCCAACACCATCTCCTCCAGCCAGGCGGGAAAATGGAGCAAAAGAACATGCTCATCCTCACCACAAACGTTCCCTGTCTGCCCACGGACGCAGCTCAGTGGGAAGAAAACTCCTTCCAAAAGCAGGCAGAGTTCAACATTTGTGGCCAGAGCAGACACCACAGCGGGGGTGCACCCCCGGCAGTGTCCCACCCTAGTGTCACCACGGCCACCACCCAGCAGGTAGGGGCTTGCACCTCTGGGGAAAAACTGCAGCTTTTTGGGTGCAATGTGACTTTGCATAAACATCCAAACTTCCATCACTGGAACGGAGAGAGCCTCCCCCGAGCCCAGGGCTGTCTCTGTCACTCTCCAGATGCAGATGAGGACTAGAGGCCATCACCACCCCCACACAGACCTGCGCTGCCACGTACGTGCCATAATGAAGACAAAATGGGGAGACAACTTACATTTACTGTCTTAAAGTGAATTTAGTGCATGTGAAAGGTGCAGGAAATACAATTTAAACCATACACAATGTAAACTTTACACACTGTCCTAGATCCTAAACCAAGGCACCCGTGTTCACCATCTCTTTAATCAGTTTCCTCCTCCATGAAAGGAACTACATCAGCACTCGTTTTGGCCAGATAATCCCAGTATAAATTTATTTACTGTCAGTCAAAACGGAGTGAGAGGCGTTCACCTTGAGCTTCCCAAGAGTCTCCCAGTTCCTGAGCTATCCATCTGGCACCTGCTTTTTGTTCTGAACACAGCACATGCAGTTTTTAATGTCAAAATAAATTTTTAGACCCTTCTGTGGGTGGAAAAACTTCCAAAAAAAAAAAAAAAATCAGTGGTTCCCTCCAGTAATTACTTTCATGCTCACAAAACTGACTGAGCTTCCAGGGGAAACAATTTGGGTTTTGAAATAATTTGAAGTGCAAGAACAGTGGAAATAAGGTATCTAGTCCAGAAGCAAATACCAACTAATCAAATCTCTTATATGAAGTTAGTAAAAAATAAATTACTTCATCATCTGAGAAGACAAGGTAATTTTCAATATCTTGAAGAATTCAAGTTAACCTCAACTATCAATATCTGACTGATGCTTCCCACAAATGGTAACATGCCAAGATCCTCAAAAGGAGGTCTTCCTAAAGGAGACCCCTAAATATTGCTACGATTCAGGGCATCAGTTTTGTTTATTTGCTTTTGAAAAAAAAAAAGGGGCACCTCTTAGATGCATTTCTCCAGTAATTTTCCAACTTCTGACTGGTTCTGTGTGTCTTCAGTGATGGATGGGATTTTTAGGGCCTCCATGGGTGATGGTGACCACAGGATGGGTAAAATGGTCTCCTTTGGTTTTGGCAGCAGCCTCTGAAGTGTGAGTATCCTGCAGGGCACGGGAATGGCCCTTTTCCTATCACACAATGGAGGTGAAAAGCAAAGGAACTTGACACAAAAAGGGAAAGCATCTGTGTCTGGTTGGTTCAGTTCCAGAGACGATACTAGTCTTCATCTTCAGCTTCCCAGAACTCACCATCAGTATGCACAGCTTGAAACAACCTGCAAGACAGCCAGTAATTTCCATCAGGATGTACAAATACACACACAAAAAATTATCAATCTAGATGTGACAAAAAAAAAAAACAAAACAACCCAAAAGCAGCAAGTTTCCCAATTTAATTTCAGTATCATAAACCGCTCACCCTGCCCTCCTCAAAGGCCATTAAAATGAGCTACTCTGCACTTACAGCCTGCTACACCAGAGGGTTTTACGGTGCCCTGCAAACGTGGTGTCTCAAGAAATCCCTGGAAATGTTAATAATCCAAACTGTATCCGAAGTCAGCCGGTGTGCTGCCACTCCTCACTGCTCTGCAGGCAGGGTACGGCAGCAGCCAAGCCTGCCAGCTCCCATGTTTCCAGCTTCTTAGAAGCCACTTTCTTGCCCAAAACCTTGGGGCAAGGAAACATCTCCCTCCAGGCTCTGTCTCGGTCAGAGGCAGCGAGTAAAGCATTGGGAACAGGCCCTGAAGACTCCTCTGGAATTTTAAAACAGAAGTTCTTAAAAAGCCAAACCATATCTCAGGTCACTCCTGATTTTTTTATTGTTAGTGACAAGTCCTTGCAAGTGTAAATATTTGAGAGAAGAATCTGTGTCTTAAATTGTGCAGCTACAGATTTCCAGGTAATAATCTGGGAGAGACTGTAAGGAAAAAATGCAAGAATCATCCATATGGCACTAGAAGAAATAGTTGCAACCACGGACCTGTTAAAGCACGGGGAGGACGGGTCGTTGAAGTGCCTGTAGGGGTTCATCCTGGAGAGAGAGCGCATGCAGATCCAGCAGAAGTACTGCATGCACCCAGTGCACGTCATCTTGTTACAGCCATCCAGTTTCTGGCAGGGGAAGGACACAAGAAACAGCAATAAAATCCGACTCTGTCAGTCTCTGAGAACCCTCCTCACACCTGCACCAACTAACGACATGTTTTACCCCGGCTCTACCACAACACTCCTGGTTTTCCACTGTTCAGGAGAATTATAAACTAGACCCACAGAACTGTGAATTGGTTATAGTGCAAACAATAATGGAAATTAGTATTTTTCTGAAGCTAGTTTTATTCACCAGCCGCAGTTCCAAACAACGGCAGCCTGAAACACATGGAAAACAAAGGGATTCATATGGATCCATCTTCAACCTGGATCTTTTTAGTACTGGAGGCCAAACAACACCTTACTCGAGTCCCTGAGCTCCAGAAACGTCACCTCCTTTTCTGTGTAACACAGACAGAAACTTCTCTTTACTAATTCCTAGAAATTTACCTTCCCTGGTGAACTTGGTAAATAAATCTCTGTTCCAGCCTAAATACAGAATTGGGAGCTCCTGTGATTCCCCAGCCTCCCCCCCCTGCCCCGTGCTCACCTCTATGTGGGTGCCACAGCAAGGACAAGACTTGCAGTTCTTTTCCAGCCATTCCTTACTCTCCATCTCCTCCAGGGCTTTCTGAATCACTCGTTTGCCGTAGCGCTGTTCCAGAAATCTTTTAGTTGCCTCATCTGCTTCTAAATACTCATTTCGCAAATCCATTAATTTCTCTGGGGAATAAAAATAAACACATAAACAAAAAACTAAAATACAAACCCAAAATAACATATTACAAAATATGTTTTGATTATATAAAGAAGTCCAGTTAATCATGGGACGGTTTAGGTTGGAAGGGACCTTTAAAGTCCATCCCCCTGCCACGAGCAGGGACATCTCCAGCTGGATCGGGTTGCTCAGAGCCCTCAGAGCCCCGTCCAGCCTGACCTTGAGCAGCAGCATAAAGTCCTCGCAAAGGAAACTAACAGTGTTCATGGAAACAGCAAGTAAAACATCGGCCCAGGTAAGGCAGGGAGGAGAATGTTAAAACCCCTCTACCTCAAAATTCAACGGTTTTGCACTGTTTCATTATAAGAGACCTGTCAATGGAATTACAACAAATCTACAATGTAACATAAACTGAAAAATACAAATATTTTTTCTGAACACATTTAATGGAACTCTGTCAAGTGATTTTGAGGCCAAATGGATAGAGAAGCATCCACCTGATTCAGGTATCAACTCTGACAACAGCAAGTAAGAGATTCACAGGAAAGAGTATAAAAAAAAAGGCACAATAAAATTATTTTTCCCCTGTTATGGCCTCTCAAAATCTGGCAACCAGCAGTTTAGGGGCTTTCTGAGCTGTGGAGTGACATCAACCGAGTACTTTTTAATTGCCAACAACAGACTTACTCCACGTGAACCTGTCTGATCTTTCAGAAAACTCACACGGTGACGAGTTTCCTTCCCTGATTTCTGACTTTCCCTCTTTCCCCACCCGAGACTTAGTGGTTTCTGGCTCCACGTCCGAAACATGAGGACTCACCCGCGGTGACTTTGCAGGGCGAGACCCCGTGGTAGGTCATTTTGCAGAGGGTACAGAAGGCGTAGTTGCAGCAGGAGCAGATGCCCATGGTGCAGCCCGGCTCCTGCATGACGGGCGTCTGGCAGCCCGGGCGAGGGCAATACACCACGTCAGCCATCAGGTCCAGGCTGGACTGCAGGAGCAGGCGGTCGTAGCGCGCAAAGAGCTGCTCCCCCACCAGCTCCTTCACCTGAACACACAGCACAGAAAGGTTATGTGCAGCCACAACTCCCAGCCTGCCAGCTCCAGTAAAAAAATACAGCAAGTCAATGGAAGAGTACCTACAGCCGGGATGAATCCACTTTGTACTCTCCAAGAAACCACTCCCAAAGTGCTATTTTAATAGTAGTTAAATAATCAAATGAAAAGCATGTGGTGTCAAATACAACGGGATGTTAATTCAGGGCTCTCACCAGTGCCAGTACCAACAGAGCGGGCAAAATACAGAATCATAGAATGGTCCAGGTTGGAGGGGACCTTTCACATCACAGAGTCCAACCATCAGCCCAGCACTGACAAACCCATCACTGACCCGTGTCCCTCAGCACCACGTCTGCCCGGCTTTGAAATCCCTCCAGGGATGGGGACTCCACCACTGCCCTGGGCAGCCTCTGCCAAGGCTTCACAACCCCATCCATGAAGAAATTTTTGCCATGTTTTAACTCTGTGTGTGGCTCCGAGTGTGAGAAAAAAAACCTTCCCCAGGTCCATTCCCAATGCTCACCATGAAAAGCCACACCTTGTCTTCTGGCACTACTGGTAAGTGAGCAGAACTCTACTGTCACACTTCTATTACCTGGCCAGGGGTGGCAACTGAGGAACACTTCGGTTCTGGACAGTTGAGACAACGGACCTGCCCGTCCCTGATCTGGATCTCAAAGTAGTCCTTCAGGCAGGCTTTGCAGTAGACGTGGCTGCACTCGGTGAAGTACATACACTCACTGCCCAGCTTCTCGCAGAAGCAGATATTGCACAAGTACATCTTACTGTTAAAGCACTTCCTCCTCTGAGCCTGATCGAAGTCCAAGATCTCCCTGATGAGGCTGGACAGGGACTCCACGTCCCGCACAGCTCTGGCATCCACCATTTCTTCCTCAGCCTCGGCAGAGCCCGCGGCGCCACCGCAATCCTCAGTGGGGAGGGGGACCAGAGGTGTCCTGCTCTGCCCCTTCCCTGGGTGGCACATTTTTAGCTCGTAGGGGGAAGAAATATTCAGGTAACTCAGCGTTTCTTCCTTCAGGAACTGCATCCAGGCAAATAAGACCACGCAGCCCCGATTCTCTTCCCACACGTTGTCTAAGTGTTTGCAAAGAGCACTGAGCTAGAAAAGGAAAAAAACAATTAATTCCAGATTTCGGGAAGTTCTGACAACTCGTTCCTGTTTTCCTCTCCCACAGTCCTCCTTGGTGCCTATTTAGATTTCAGATTCTGGAGCTTTTTGTAATATACATAAAATACATATAACTATTTAGATTTCAGATTCTGGAGCTTTTTGCAATATACATAAATATGCAATATACATAAAATACGTATAGAAATAATGCTCATAGACACAAGCTTTCCTTCCTCAGGACCAAATAAAAACAGGCAGGAAACAAAAGAAGAGCCAACTGAAAGAGCAACATCTTAATATATGTCTAAATTCTACTTTCACCTACTACAGGAACCAGAGCACTGTTAGTTATGAATTTACTCCTGATCACAAAAGCTCTGTTAAAACGTTAAAACGATTTTACAAACCTGGGCTTGGGAGAGCCATTTCCCACTGAGGGTGAAGAGGGGGGGGGAGGTGGATGGATAGTCCGGGGGGAGCTCAAAATTCAGCACGAGGGGAGGCAGGAAGCACACGGTGTATTCAAACCCACCGCTCTGCAGGCTCTCCGGGGAGCTGCCTGCAGCAAAGAGAATCCAGGCAGTTTGAGAAAAAACAGGAAAACTAACGAACTGTAACTGTTTCTGACAGCAGCCAATGGATCTCTTTCCATCCAATGAATTTCCAGGTTTAAAATAATTTATTCAACCCCAAATATTGTTGTACATCCAGGGCTCAGTCCATCCCACCGCGCTGTGACGTGTCAGGTCCTGCACACACCAACACCCCGGGAAGACACACCCACAAGGGAAAAAAAATAAAACCCAACAATCCCCAAACCAACAGAACTGAACTATTCCACAGAAATACTGTTACTCATCTTGAATTTTAAAGGTGACGGAAGAGGTTATGAGGATGAAATCCCCCACTCAGACATAAACCCCAACAATTCCACAAGCCCAGGGCCAGTCGTGGCTTTCTCTGGTCGATGCTCTACAGGTGGCTGAAGCAGCACCCGTCTGAGCACGCAGCAGCAAAGCACCCTGTTAAAAACTGCTCTGGGGATAGAACAAGGCGTCTCAACTCACCACTCACAAAAATTTTGAAGTCCTGGGGTAACTCCAGACAGATCCTCGTTTCTCCTCCTGGGGCTGACTCGGCTCTCTTAAACTCCTCTTCATCATAAATACTGGCCAGAGCCAGCAGCTCATCCTCCTGGGCTTCTTTGTCTTCTGAAGACATTTAAATCTCCTGGGGAGTAACACCGCTCTACCAGATCAACTGAATTAACAAATCCCCTTCAAATTACTACCTTGGGGCAGCTATTTTATAGTACTGTGAGGCTTAGAAACCCAAGTAACATATCAAATCACGTAGAATATAGTTAAGATTTTCTTACAGGTTGAAAAAATATTGATAGAAATAAATATTTTATAAATTTATGAAAAGTTTATAAAATTATAAAAAATTTTCTTGTATAAAATAAAAAACCCCCACCTTAATAACACTTAAAAGTCAACAAGCAGTCTGTCTGTGAGTGTTTGTGGCTAAAGACAGCTCTCAGGGGGGGAAACTAGTGAAACACAGCAATGGCAAAAGGGACACCGGGACAATTCACTGATGTTTGAAAGGGAAAACAGACTGCCCCCCCCCAAAAAAAAACCAGCAAAAGGCATTAGTAATAGTATCTCTCATAGGGAGTTCCAAAACAAGCAAGGAAACAGCCCTATTTATGATTAAAGTCACTGAAGATATCAGTAAGAAGCCTGAGATCCCGTGCAGGCACCTTGTGGGTCACTCCTGCACCCCTGCAGTCCCAGATTTGGGGCACTAAAGCCCCATTTAACGCATTATTACCTCTTTATTCACACTGCGCCGTGGCAAAGCGGAGGTGCCGGTTGCGGAACAAGGCGAGCGGGGGCAGCGGGGCCAGAGTGGGGGCTGTGACCATTCCCCTGGGAGAGCTGGAGGGGGCATCAAATTTTTCTCATCCACACCATGAAAAAGGTCAAATCCTGTCATGGAAGTGCATCTGGTTACACCCTGCTGCTCCCCTGCTGCCTGTGCACAAACAAACAAACCAGGCACAGAGGGATTAAAGTCCTCTCACCAACACACGCTGCGTTTGTGAGGACACCCTCAGAAACCCCAAACAACCTTCCCCCAGCCCTCACACCCCGCAGTAACTCGGCAACGGGCACAGTTACTGGGGTTCTGTTACCCCTTTAGTGCACAGAAATAATCCCACCCCACTGCTCCCCCCACTCCAGGCTGGGAGACCAGTCAGTAAAGAGCAAAGGAGAGGCAGCTCTTCCAAACCAGCAGCTTGGGGAAGAAAAAAAACATATCCAAAAAAATATGGGGAGCAGTGGAAACAAAGAAAAAGCTAAATTTTCAGGTCAAGCTCTTGCACACACACAGCTGTATGGGTGTCAGTTTCAACCACTCACACCTTTTCACAGGACGGTTTGGGTTTGAAGGGACCTTAAAGATCATTGAACTCCACCCCCCTGCCCTGGGCAGGGACACCTCCCACCACACCAGGTTGCTCCAAGCCCCCTCCAACCTGCCCTTCAACCCCTCCAGGGATGGGGCAGCCACAGCTTCTCTGCCCAACCTGGGCCAGGCTCTCACCACCCTCACACCAAACAAGTTCTTCCCCACAGCTCAGCTCCATCTCCCCTCTTGCAGGGTCAAACCCTTCCCCCTCCTCCTAGGGCTCCCCTCCCTCATCCAGAGTCCCTCCCCATCTCTCCTGGAGCCCCTTGAGGGACTGGAAGGGGCTCCAAGGTCTCCCCGGAGCCTTCTCTTCTCCAGGCTGAACCCCCCCAACTCTCTCAGCCCCCCCTCCCAGCAGAGGGGCTCCAGCCCTCCCGGTCCCAGCACACCCCCTCAGCCCGGCCGGCAGCGCTCCTCAAGCGGGGGCACCACCAGCCCCGCACCGCGGAGGGAGGCCCGGGCGCTGGGGCACAGCGGGGCCTGGTCCCCGGCCCAGCCCGGCCCGGCGTTACCTCGGCCGCGGGGCAGCGGTGCGGGCCCGGTGACGGCGAGGCGGGGCCCGGCCCGTCACGGCAGCGCGAGGCGGGGGAAGGAAGGGAAGGGGCAGGGCCCCGGCTGGAAGCGGAGGCCCCGCCCGGCCCCGCAGCG